GGGACCTGGAAGTAACATCACATCACTTCCGGGTCAGGACAAGAGAGGGAGGGAAGCAGATGTGTCCACTCTCCTCCCTCCCGTATACCAGCCAGCACCCACTGAACCCTATAGAGGGCAGGGGGGCAGAGCCTGGCAACATAGTGGGCTATGTGGAAGCAATTGGGCAACTGCGCTGCCACTTGAATGCTTTTACCTGACAGATGAGCCCTGCTGGTTGCCCACAGCAGGGCTAAAGGTAAAAAAAAAAAAAAAAAAAAACTACCTGCCCGGCGCCCCAAACTACATGCCCTGGGCGTCGGGCGATATGAATTGAACATCCCTATTCCTTTTCACTAAAATTTCTTCAGTATTTGGAAATACATAGGGGGCTGCTATGGCTTGCGTCAAGTTCAACACCTTTGCTTTTGAAGAGGCTGATCATGGACTAGGTTTGTTGTGTAAACACATTTGTCCTATTCATCCCTATTGCTTCATTTCAGTGAATTACATTCAGAACACAAAATCCAGTTTGGAAAAAATCTCCGCAAGGATTAAGCGTTGCACTGTGGGGAAGGCCAGAGAAAGCCTGAAGGCTGCCAGGCCATTGCCACAGAGACGCTATAAATATCTCTGACTGAATGCGCTCTATAAATACCATCACCTACACACAGATCTGCTTCAAAAACACACATGTGAAGCTTTAAAGACATTCTTCACAGAGGATGAGAAACAGCAAAAATGTGTAGATATCATTCAGAAAATACAGTTATGGAGGGTAGGCATGGGCAAGGTAGGTCACTGAACTACCAGCATGAGCTGCCAGACAAAACTCAGCTTGTGGGTTGGAAATGAAGACATGTGGGATGGAATAGGTCCAAGAGCAAATTTTGGGGATCCCTAGACTGCAAGAAAGCACAGTGCATTCATAAAGTATTCAGACCACCTTCACTTTTTTTCAATTTTGTTATGTTGCAGCCTGATACTACAGATGTTTAAATTCAATTTTTTTCTCATTAATAAATTGATCTACACTATGAATGAAACAACTAATCGACATAATCAATTATAATTGAAGTTGTCAACTATTTTCATAATCGATTAGTTGGTCTGCATACTTCATGCATTATTTGTTTACATATCAGAATTACAGTGCAGCACACATATGGCTCAGTACACCGTTCATAGATGTCAGTATACACAGTGCAGCACACGTACAGCTCAGTACACATTGTCAGATGTCAGTCTACACCATGCAGCACACGTACAGCTCAGTACACCGTTCATAGAGGTCAGTATACACAGTGCAGCACACATACGGCTCAGTACACACTGTTCATAGATGTAAGTCTACACAGTGCAGCACACGTACAGCTCAGTACACCATTCATAGATGTAAGTATACACAGTGCAGCACACGTAAAGCTCAGTACACCGTTAATAGATGTCAGTATACACAGTGCAGCACACGTAAAGCTCAGTACACCGTTCACAGATGTCAGTCTACACAGTGCAGCACACGTACAGCTCAGTACACCGTTCATAGATGTAAGTATACACAGTGCAGCACACATACAGCTCAGTACACCGTTCATAGATGTCAGTCTACACGGTGCTGCACACATACAGCTTAGTACACCTTCCATACATGTCATTAAGTGCCTAAACACTTGTGAATGTGTGAGGAACAATGCCCGTGTGGGAAATGTAGTCCTGGGCAGGAGAAGTGAGTGATTCTAAAAGGCAGAAGTTTTTTTGCCTTGCTATCGGGCTCTCTATACTATACTTTGTGGCTTTTTATAGGGGCACTCTAAAGGCAGGAGGATCCAGAAGTGCCGGAGGGGGATCCCAGAAGAGGAGAATTGGGGCTGCTCTGTGCAAAATCATTGCATAGAGAAGGTAAGTATAGCAAGTTTGTACTTTAACCACTTTATCTCCGGAAGACTTTACCCCCTTCATGACCAGGCCATTTTTTGCTAAACCGCACAGCGCTACTTTAACTGGCAATTGCATGGTCATGCAACACTGTACCCAAACAAAATTTATATAACATTTTTTCATATAAATAGAGCTTTCTTTTGGTGGCATTTGATCACCACTGGGTTTTTCATTTTTTGAGATATAAAACGAAAAAAAGACCAAAAATTAAAAAAAAAACAAAAAACAATATTTTTTACTTTGTTTTGAAACATTCAATACATTTTTTCTTTAAAAATCAAATTTCTTTATAAATTTTGGCCAAAATGTATGCAGCTTCATGTTTTTGATTAAAAAAAAAAAATCCCAATAAGTGCACATTGATTATTTATATGAACGTTATAGTGCCTGCAAAGGATAGTATACACACTAGAACTATTTTTTTTTTAATACTACTAATGGCAGCAATCAGCAACGTATAATGGGACTGCGGCGGGCAATCTGACACTGACTAATTGCCACTGACATAATCAATGACATTACTACACCGATCAATGATACTATACACTGTCACTGTACTAATGGAACTGGCTGGAAAGGGGTTAACATCTAGGGTGATCAAGGGGTTAATGTGTGCCTAACAATATGTAATGGGTGTAAAAGTATGCTGCTTTTACTAAATCATCTCTAAGTTTCTCATCCTTTACAGATCTCTCCCTCTGTTCATACACAGCTGATCAGCAGGTCCTGGCCCAGACTTGCTGATAGACGCCTGCTGCGTACCTGTACAGGGAAGATCAGCATCTGAACCCACAGAAGCTGGAGGCTGACAGACTGGAGGTAATTTAAGGCATCACAATTAAATACAAAGTAAAAAGTTTACCAGTATTGTGCATTATATTTAAAATGATTATATCCATGAAAAAATTCCCATCCTTTAGTATGACTTTATTATAAAAGACTTACATCCTGTCTGAAAATCTGCAAAACAGCATTTTAGGTCTTAACATTTTTTTTTCTTCTTTGAATAAAAATTTTGATCTCAGAGTCTGAGGATATGTACCAGATTCAACCTCCTAATACAGTATACCTCGTCTGTTATTCTCATAGTGGACCAGATAGTTTGTTCCCTAACCGTATAGCTGGTTATTTATATTCACCACTGCATATAGATATTCAAGAATAAATTGCCTCCCTTTTAAAATTTTACATATTAACTAAAATAATTCACCAAACTTTTTTTTGAGGTTTTTTTTGCAGCCCTAATCTACCTTCAGTACCCCATAATGACAAAGTGAAAACAGAATTTGGAAATGTCTGAATTTATTAAAAAAACCTGACATATCACATGTACTTCATTCAGACCCTTCATTCAGTACATTGTTGAAGCACCTTTGGCAGCAATTACAGCCTTGAATCTTTTTGAGGACGACGTGACAAGCTTTGCCACCTGAATTGGGGATTTTCTGCCATTCTTCTTTCTGCAAATATGCTCAATCGTAGTCAGATTCGGTGGGCCATTTTTCAGGTCTCTCCGGGGTTCAAGTCAGGGCTCTGGCAGGGTCACTCTAGGACATGCAGAGTTGTCCCTAAGCCATTCCTGTGTTAACTTGGCTGTGTACTTAGAATTGTTGTCATGATTGAAGGTGAACCTTTGGCCCGTCTGAGGAGCTGAACGCTGTGGAACAGGTTTCCATTGAAGATCTCTCTGTACTTTGCTCCATTCAGCTTTCCCTCATCCCTGACCAGTGGCCCAGTCCCTGCTGCAGTAAATGCTGGACTGCCTCTACACAATAAAATGTCTAATTTTGCTCCAACAGTTACCCTAGGTTCACACTTGTGCGATGCGGGACACCGCATGTAATTCATTCCGGAATCGCACTGCATTCTTGTGCAAATCACATGCGATGTCTGTACAGTGTGATTTGAGCCATACATTTTGTATGGCCCAAATTGCATCACATCCGCTCCAAAAAGGTGCCAGATCCTTTTTCCCCTGCACTTCATTCACATTGCATGGGTGTTCAAACTCATGTGTTGCGAATTCAGGAAAATTGCACTGTGTTTTGCGATCTGTTTTAGGATTATCGTTAATTTAACATTGACACCCGCACCAGATCACATTAATGCGGTGCAGGAAACGCACAAGATTCGCTGTTTCCCGCAGCCCATTAGTGTGAACCTGGTCTCAAGTTATAGGCAGTAGAGCTACAAGACATTCAGGTGTATAACCCCAGAACCAGTATATGGTCAACATTTAGCTCAGCTCTAAAACCCCCTGAACCAACTTATTTATTTTATTTATTTCAGGTACTTATATAGTGCTGTCAATTTACGCAGCACTTTACATATATATTGTACATTCACATCAGTCCCTAACACTCAAGGGGCGTACAATCTAAGGTGTAGTCAACTATTTTAAAAAGTAGTGCATGCACTACTTTTGGTGCAATCCAGTGTGATTTCAGTCTATTCAAATGAATGGACTGACAACTGCATTGCACTGAATGGCACAGGAATGTGAAGAGTGTTCCTGGGCTCTTCTGGTGTGAACCGGCACTTACGAAACAGCAGCAAAAGGACATTTTGGTGCTGGGACACCATACATTGACACCTCAGTAATAAGCACAGAGACGGCTGGCCACCACTTTCATACACCTTACATACACGCTCAATGTACATGGTCAAGCCTCCCTATTACGTGGTTTAAAAGGTCTGGCTACTTCTTTATTAGTAGAGAGAAAAGCGGGAGATAGAATTCCCAGCCATCTCTTCATACTGTAACACAACACCCATTTACCGATACAGTCTTCAATGTAGAATACATGGACCAAACATTTCATGGCTGCCTGTATGTGGTCACTAGGCTTCAAACAATAAGTTGAAATTACAATAAAAAGCAGCAGCAAGAGCTGTTAGGAGCTCACTGGATTTCTAGCAGGATGAACTTGTAATATTCTGTACTTGCAGCAATTTTCAGTGCCAAAATTCGGGAAATGTAAAAGGACTGCAGAGATGTCCATATTTTTTTGCCAGTCATACACTTTAACTGATCAGTGTTGTAACTTTTTGAATTGTTTGAAGCCATAGCATAAGCTCCCTACCGTCTCTGTATCTCCAGCTCTTCCTGCGAGGGGCCATTCTGCACTTGCAGCGGTATGTGGGAATTCTGACGAGACAACGTAGGACCTAAAAAAGAGAGAACAGTAAGGTTGACAATGGGCAACATCCTTGAATGCTTCACAAATGTCACAGCTTGCAAATATTATTCCTAAAAAAACACTCGGCAAGGTGGCCATTGCACAAGGCAAGGTTAAGGAGTTAATGTAACAATCATGCACACAGGGAGAGGCGTGGTTCTCCATTTTGCTCCAAATTTCTGCATTTTGGTATTTCTCTTAAAATTCCAAATCAGTCTCCCTCCTCCGATTTCCCCCCTCCCTCAGGAATGCGTTCAGCGTACCTTGCTAGTCCCTGCCTTTATACAATCCTTTTACCAAATAAGGCAATTGGGTTCTGTTGTAAGAGACACCACGTTGATTTTGGGTAGAAAAAGAGGCTGTTATGTTTTGTGTGTACACAGAGAAGTGAGGACCTTCTGCGTTTTAATATCTAGCAGAAAGAAAGGGGAATCTCACTGTAACAACAAAACTGAGTGCGAGACCAGAAATCCCTTTTGAGCTCATGAGACTTGAAACTGCTTAACTCCAGGCATCTTTCGGCAAGTAATTATTTACCTAAACTTATTTCTGTTATCTGTTTGCTGTGGTGTGTGTGTGTGTGTGTGTGTGTGTGTGTGTTACATCTTTTTTCTGTAAATATTTCTACTGCACCCTTTTGACCTTTTAGTAATAAATCTTACTTTCTGAAAGTGTTGAACTGTTTCTATAGTTCTTTAATGTGACTTACGAATCCCTGCCGCTGAAGAGCGCTACTATGAGTGTTTAACCCTTTGTATAACCTGTCTGTGGAGATTGCGGTATACTGACGATTAACCAATTATCCTAGTGTATTGCTGAGAGTTTCCTCTTTTTCTGTACAAAAAGGAGGTGGTGGCAGTGTGAAGGGTTAATTGCGTAATTAACCTGACCCAGTAACAATCGCATTCAGGCTGTCGGTACATCGATTGTGGTCCCATTAGCTGGAAAATCGTTGTGCAGGGTGCAGCTGGGCATGGCATTGTTACACACGTGACATCGCGTTGTCAAATTGGCTAGTCCTTCGGTCACGAGTTTTTTTGGTGAGAAGGTCAGGGGTCTGACGTGCGATCGTCACAGTTAACATACAATGAATGTGAAGCAGACCAGTGGATTCAGCCTAAACAGCTACATGGCAACAATAGCCACAACGACTGGACATAAGTTGGTGGATGGGGAGGTCAAAGCTAAAACCAGCCACAAGACAACACCAAGGTCACTCGCCTAATAAAAAACACTGGAGATGGAAAGGAAGAGAAAATATCAGGAGGTAGATGAACAAAGCTTCAGGTCAATTCAGCAAAAAGACAGAAATGTAAATGCTTGCCTGTAATACTTTTGTTGCCAAGTAAGCTTTAGCCCTGGCTCACACTGGATCCGAATTTAAAATCGTGCAACTCCACTAGACTTCACTTTCAAAGTCAGATGGCAGTGCACAGATGTCTATGCAAGTCGCACCCCAAATTGGCAAAAGTAGTGCAGGAACTACTTTTCTAAATCGGTGTGAAGTCAGATTTGTATCGATTAGAATGGTTCCCTTGCCGATCATTGGATGTGATTTGAACAGTCAAATCGCATCAGTGTGAACCAGGGTTCAGAGTGCATCTAAAGTCAAAACAGGGAAGGACTGAAATTTCTGCCACAGAAAGCGAGGAAAAAAAAAGTCTATAAAATGAGAGACGTCCCTTCTTAAAATGGAAGTAAAGTGCCCATCTTAATTTGTACCTACAGGTAATCTTACAATCAGGATTACCTATAGGTACAATGAATATCTCCTAAACGTGCATTGTTTAGGAAATAGTCGCATTGGCAATAGCCAATGACGTCACTTGCACAATGATACTCTGCATTTAGGGAACACAGTGTGCCATTGAACGCAGAGCGCAGGGCCAAGGCTTCTGCACAGGAGTGATGCCATTATGCCCCAGCTGTTCAAATGGCCGGAGCCCGTGAACCGGAAGGAAGAATGGGCGAAGATTGAAGCATCAGGGAAGGCTTAACAGCGCTGTGCTGGAGGGCTCCGTGTGCGGGTAAGTGTGTCATAATGTACGCGGTAGTATGCCAGTATGCGGTAAATGCTAACACATTATAGGATAAACCAGTGGGGGACCAAATTTTTTTTATTTTGGAGGCTTACTACTGCTTTAAGACATACACCAATTAGCCACAGCTGTATGGCCACTGACAGGTTGAATTAAAATACATTGATCATCTAGGTATACTGATATCTAAAAAAAAGTCAGTGGAATATATTAAGCAGTCGGTAAACATGTTGTCCCTGAAGTTGATGTGTTAAAAGCGGGGGGGGGGGGGGGGGGGGGGGGGGGGGGGGGAATGGACATTGCAGTTTGATGTGTATGGCGCTGCAAAGCCTCAGACCAGTCAGGGTGCCTATGTGGACCCGTGGCCACAGCTAAATGTGCCTACAATAGGCACATAAGCATCAGAACTACACTACAGAGCAATAGAAGAAGGTGGCCTGGTCTGATAAATCATATATTCTCTTATAATATATGGATGGCCGGGTGCATTGCTTACCTGGGGAAGAGATGCCACCAGGATACACTACGGCAGAAAGGCAAGCCGGTGGAGGCAGCGTGATGCTTTAGGCAATGCTCTGCTGGGAATCCTTGCATCCTGCTATGCATGTGGAGGTTACTTTCACAAGTACCATCTACCTATACATTGTTGTTGGCCAAGTACATCCCATAATGGAAATTATACTTCCTGATGGCAGTGGCCCCTTTCAGCAGGACAATGTGCCCTACCCCACTGCACAAATGGTTAAGAAATGGTTTCAGGAAAAACAACAATTTTGGAGGTGTTGACTTGCTGGATTGGATTGAGATTTGGAGAATTTGGAGATCTGTGGGAAGGAAAAACAAGTCTGATCCATGGATTCCCCACATCGTAACTTACAAGACTTAATGGATCTTCTACTGATGGCTTGGTGCCAGACACAACACACCTTCAGAGGTCTAGTGGCGTCCATGCCTTGATGGATCAGGGCTGTTTTGGTGACAAAAGGGAGACGTCCTCAATATTTGGTGGGTGATCATAAAGTTGCGGCTAATGGTGTATATCGCTGCTCTAAAATTCCACCTCTATTCCAGTTCCAGAGTCAATATAAATTATGGTTTTTCCTTTCACCCTCACAAATAGATGGTATAAACTAACCCAGAAGGTAAAAAAAAACAACAAAACAAAAAACAAACATTTGAACCACGTGTCTTCCATGGGAGTGGAAGTGATTCACCATCCAAATGAAAGTCCATCACCCTCTCTACAATCTATTTAAAATTCTTGTCTACCAGCTGTTTGTAAATGGCGCTGGTAGACAAGTCGTTAAAAAGAAGCTGCATTTTGCCCCTTCCCTTGACCTAAACAAACCCACCCTTCCCCTCTACAGATGCATACTTAATTTAATCCTACGGTTTCTTATATCCAGCACTATCTTGGCTGCGCCTGCACATTACAGACCCTATAGACTTCTACAGGGCTATATTCTGAGGCTGGAGACGACCAGAGATGGACCGCATAAAGGCTAGGGGCTGTAATCCGCAGGCACAGCTAACACAGTGAAAACTTGCGACACGGAATGTAGACAAACAGCAGAACCACAGTAAGAATCTAAGTAAACATCAGTGGAGGGTGGGTTAGTATGGATCTGAGGAAGGTTTTAAAGTGCAATTATCCTTTAATGAGTCATGATGTGGTCTCAAGTACATAAACCCGCTGCATTACAGTAATCTGAACATAAATATACAGTGCAGGGATCCTGTCATTCACCCTCCCTTTCCTCTCCCCTTGTCCACTCACAAAACGTTTTGTATTCTGTTTAAATCTCTCAACCACAGTGCTGAAAGAAGAACGCTAGCTTTACTTTCTGGCATCAAAGTAGCTAGAATTTTTACAGTAAACAGCAGCAGTCTGGCCTTAGTATAAGTATGTATAGCTCAAACCTTGTACCACAGGAGAAATTTCCCTTCACTTCTGGTCTTCAATACACAAGAGGTTAGAGGAAATCTCCCAAAAAGTGGGGGAGATGTCCTCTTAGACAGTTGTCCCTGGAACAGCTACCCCCAGCCTCTTGATCTGGGATCGACACCAACGTTTTGGATTTTCCCACAACTTTTTCTCAGTGCCAACAGTCACTTGGACAGTTCTCTCACACCAGATGCATTGGGGCTACGCTGGCAGATATGTCCAACAACACCCCAGCGCAGATAAGATGAGTGTAAGCTGTAGTGCAAATTAAAAAAAAAAAGCACTGCGTACACTTTTTTCTTTTAAGAGCAACGGTTTACAACGCATGTGGTCACAACGCCAATGCAGTGAATAGAGCTATACTGGAATGTCACTTGTGACATTTCAATAAAGTTCTGTGGGAAGAAAAAAAAAAAAGGATAATGAAACAGTGAGAGGTGCATCAAGTTTGGCACATCTGCACTCCCAGAGCAGGGACCAGTGGCTGTGCAATTAGCTTGGCTTGCTTGTGTGAACAAGCCCTAATCCTACCACTCTATCCAATAAAAAAAAAAAAAAAAAAAAAAAGTTTTGCCTAGCAATACATTACATAAGGGAGATTTCCTCTTACATTCTAATGAGTCACAAGGGCAGGAAGTGAGAAGAATCTCTCTAACTGGGACACAAATAAAAAAACAGTAGGGTTTAAGGGTCTGGTTATAGTTACAGACTCTGTCCCTGTTGAGGTATCTTTACCTCCAGTTGTGGCACAGTGATCAGAATATTTCTAATGGAGTCAAAGACATCAATAAAATACCTGAGCTGGACACACACACACACATACATACACACACACACACATATACACACATATATATATACATACATATACACACACACATTATAAACATACATATACACACACACATATATACACACACACACACACACATATACACACACACACATACACACACACACACATACATACACACACACACACACATACATACACACATATATATA